ATGATATAAATCTTTTCATATTAAATAAATTAATAAGCGGAATACTATTTTAAACTACTTTCAATGTGAATAAATTTACTACAATATAATTTAATATTTCTACAAAGATATAATTTTTTAAACTAGCATTTACATACTAGCAATGTATGCCATAATCATCGTAGATTGCAATTGAGTAAAATCCGATTTTTATAACATGATACCTCTTAAATTTCTTTGACATGTTGTATACCACTTCCCGTTTGTTCTGCAATTCATCGTAGAGCTTACGTTTACGCGGAGAATCCAGATCACTCTGCCTCCAACGTGACCGATTGTTAGGTCTGCTTTTTGGACTTTTTGGAGTAGATCCTCAACAGGAGTTGTCACTCTGACAGGATTTTCCACTGAACGATTATTCAGTTCTGCTGGCAGAGGAATTTGTAAAACAGGAGTTGACACTCTGACAGGATTCTCAACTGACGGATTATTCAGTTCTGCTGGCAGAGGAATTTTTAAAGTTTCCTACATAAAAAATTATTTTTTTATTATTATAGTTATTTTTATTATTATATTAATTTATATATATATATATATTTAATTCTTTATTTTAAACAAATATTTATAGAAAAATTCCAAAAATTTTTAAATTATTCATAGGGGAGAGTGGGGCAAACCGGACCGGTGGGTAAACCGGACCCCCCTCAATATTTCGGAAATGGCGAAATTGGAAAAAGTGTAGTTTACAAATTTAAAACAACTATTTTTGGTATACCTTATTTTTTCAATCTGACAGTTTTATTTTGCGTTTGTGCGACGAAGGGAGCAAAAGTTTTTTTTAGTTGTTTTCTACACTTTTACGAATTTTTTCTTAAGGAAATTTTGAGGAAATCGTGTAATATTTCCAAATATTAGGTCTTGGGTTTTGAAGGTACACACCTCAGGAATATTTACCACCAAAAACTTTGATGAATTTGCAAAGCGTTTCTTTTTGACAAACATTTATTCTCAAAATGGGCCTGTGGGGCAAATGTTTCTTTCATTAAAATATTTACTTACAATGAAAAATAATTGTCTTCCAATAAGAATTGGACCCTTTAATATTGTTTCTCTGATAATAACAAACATTTTTATTTTTTTGTTTAAAAAAATATTTATTTAATTAAAATTCAATCCCGTATTATTATTTTCATTACTACGATTATTGTTTACATGATTCTTTATGTTTTTAGGGTTCCGTACACCTACGGTATATCGGCGGAACCCTATTGGTGAGACTCTGTTGTCCGTAGCCAAATCGTGTCCTCCCCCCTAGCGGCTAAACTATTTGACCTAGAGAGCTCAAATTTGGTACAGATATGTATTTTCACACGTAGATTACAGGAAAAATATAGAGAATGTGTTTGGAGATGATGGTCATAGCGTTGTCAAGGAAATAACAAGCTTTTTGGCCAAAAATGCATAAAAAGTGACCATTCCCCCCCTTAACTTCTAAACTATTCAACATGGAGGGCTAAAATTTGGCATACTGGTGCATTTTATCGCGAATATTACAGGAAAAATATAGAGAACTTGCTATGTATTAATGTCCATAGCGTTGTCAAGGAAAAACTAAAAAATTTTTTTAAAAAATTTTGTTTTCCTAACTTTTACATTATTTGACCTAATGAGCTGAAAATTGGTATCCTAGTGTATTATTACAGTCTGACGACAAAAAATTTATTTAAGAAACTTTTTTTAAAAAAATCAAAAAAATTTTTTGATTTTTTTTAGTTTAAACACGTGGCATTAAATATTTTAAGGAAGAGTGAAATTTTAAGGGAATAAATGAGAGATTGTTTTCTGACTTTAATTTCTTAACTAATAATAAAAAAAATTGGACAAGTGCGAGTTGTACTCGCACTGCAATGGCGGCTTCCGTACACAAATATTAAAACAATACTTGCAACATTTATCGGTAATTGGTAGAGTTAAAATAAACAATTAAAAAAGTATATCAAAATCATTTGATAAAAAAAACTAAAAAAATTAAAGTATTGTATATCTAATATTGTAAACAATAATAAGCAGATGAACTATAATTTTGAAAATTTTGTTTCTCTGCTTAATTATTGTTTACAATATCAGATATATACAATACTTTAATTTTTTTAGTTATTTTTTTATCATATGATTTTAATATACTTTTTTAATTGTTTATTTTAATTCTACCAATTACCGATAAATGTTGCAAGTATTGTTTTAATATTTGTGTACGGAACCCGCCATTGCAGTGCGAGTACAACTCACACTTGTCCAATTTTTTTGTTTATTATTGTAGATTATGTAAATGAAATATTATAAATAAAAAACCAAACGGTCCGGTTTGCCCATGAGGGGTCCGGTTTAACCCAGGGGGTGGGGCAAACCGGACCGTTTGCAAATTTTTTTAAAGTTAACACAGCAACTAAACAATAAAAGATAAAGTATAGGTGTCTCCGGGAAAAAGTTGCGCAATTAAATGATCTTTCAAACAAGCCATCGAAAAATGAAATCGGTTGATTCGTTTAGTCACAAGAGTCAAAAAACCGTTAGGGAGTCCGGTTTGCCCCATTCTACCCTATCATTTTTTTCGATTTTTATTTATACGTCTATAAAGAATCATTTTGAAATTTAAATAAAAAAAATAAAAAAATAAAAACCGAGGGGAAAGGAAAGAAGAATGTGTCCTCAACCGTTCCTTTTAAAGGAGAAGCAATTCTTTTATATACAGAACTTTGGTCGTAAATAAGCTCCACTGGAGCAGGAGAAATACCTTAGTAAAAAAACAATTTTGAGTTAAAATTTCACAGAGAATGCCCCATATGGTTTTAATTTCGCAAATGTACAAACTCTGGTTAAGGATAAAAATTTATATTGTTATATTTTGTTAAATATTGTATAATAAAATTTATTTTAAAATACATTTTTTAAATCCATCACCATTTTCATAATAAACTTAACATTAAAAAGTTATTGTTTAATAAAATTGTTATAAAATTAAGTTTAGTGATTTTTAAAAATAACACTGTGTTACAAAAAAAATATGACTTCAAAAACTTTTTATGGGACCTAGTGGAGGTTGTAGGGCTTGAAAAACTGAGCAAAATGTTATATTTTAAATTGCCTAAACACCCTCAAAATTTTATTTTAGAGCTAAAAAACCGTTTTTTAGGAGTTAATCCACAAAAAACCTGATAACTTTCTTATTTTTTGACCGATTTCAATTTATTTTTTTTGTTTGGAAGCTGAAAAACAGATCTTTTCAACGCTATAAATATTTTTATCGTATTTTATTAATTAACGACAATAAAGACCAAAAGGTTTAAAAAATTAATTTTTCTAGTTTTTTATAAATTTATGACTGGTATCTCATATACAATAATTTTTTTTGTACAATTCATCGAAAGTATAGTCGATTCTGCTTTTAATGACGCCCGATTGAATAGAATTCGTTAAAATTTGTCAAAGTTATCATACTTTAAATTTCATAGTTACATAAAGTTTTAGAGATGACTGGTCTTTTTTACATTTATTCAGAGTAAATTTTTTGTTAACTAAGCAAAATTAATGATTTAAGATTAAATTTAGCTCAGAATTCATTGTTGATTACAAAAATCGTATAAAACAGAATATTTTTTGTCAACAATTTAATAAATGATTTAAAATTTAAAAATTCTTTATCAATGGTTTTTTAACTTTGCACTGTCTTTTTGGCGCTTGAGAGACCAACAATATTCCGAAAGCATATTATAAGTGCTTTTTACTCTGAATAAATGTAAAAAAGACCAGTCATCTCTAAAACTTTATGTAACTATAAAATTTAAAGTATGATAACTTTGACAAATTTTAACGAATTCTATTTAATCAGGCGTCATTAAAAGCAGAATCGACTATACTTTCGATGCATAGTACGAAAAAAATTATTATATGTGAGATAACAGTTACAAATTTATAAGAAACTAGAAAAATTAAGTAAAAAAATTAATTTTTTAAAACTTTTTGGTCTTTATTGTCGTCATTTAATAAGACACGATAAAAATATTTATAGCGTTGAAAAGATCTGTTTTTCAGCTTCCAAACAAAAAAAAATAAATTAAGATCGGTCAAAAAATAAGAAAATTATCAGGTTTATTGTGGATTAACTCCTAAAAAACGGTTTTTTAGCTCTAAAATAAAATTTTGAGGGTGTTTAGGCAATTTAAAATATACCATTTTGCTCAGTTTTTCAAGCCCTACAACCTCCACTAGGTCCCATAGAAAGTTTTTGAAGTCATATTTTTTTTGTAACACAGTGTAATATTATAAAAATTTAATGTTTTCCCTATAATATTGAATAACAAAATTTGTTTATACGATGAATAGTTTACGAGATAAAAATTTCTGAAAGAAGTGTTGAAATTTAGTTAAAACCGTTAAGATGCATTATCTTTTGAACGTAAATAGTAAGAGCATTAAAATTTAAATTATAGAAGGGTGTTTTTAAACTAAATTAATTTCCGAGTTATAAAAAAAAGTTATAAAAGAATGAAATAAATTTAATATCCATTAAAAAAAATTCTTGAAAAACGTTGTTTTTTAGCCATTTACTTATTTAATAGTTTTTTAATAAAACTTTTTTTATAGTAATTCACATTATGTTATGTAAAAAACAGGGTTGAGAATTGTCTACATGTTACAAATCTTAATGAAATAAATTTTTTTAAACACACAGAAATGGTTTTAGAAGAGATCTCTTAAGGCCGATTATACAATTTTTCTTATTTGTTTAAAGTATATTGTTTTAAACAATAATAAATTGCACTTTTTTGAGTATAAAATATTGTAAATAGTGTAAAAATGTTGTTTATCGCTTTTAATTAGTAGCCTGTAGACGTCTGAAAATGTACAGTAAATGTGTAATGTTCCAAGAAAGTTACAGAATTATTATAAACAAATTATATGATCAAATAAAATTTATTAAATAATTAATTAATCAATTAATTTTTTTGTAAATTTTGCAGATGTCAGGAGAATGCCAAAGGGCTCATACGTCCACAGAGCCGTCTGTGGACAAAGAAAATTTAATTTCTTTAGGGGCGGACACATTTATACACCGTGATGATTGGCGAATAATAGAAGCAAAGGAAAAGGATACTGCATTTTTATTAGGCGTAATTCGCCAATTTTTTCCAGAGGGTCTACAAGGCCATTTCCTAGCAAAAGACCCTCTAGACGGTGTAAAAAAAAAAGTCTGCCCCTTGAAAATACAGGCAATCGAGGGTAAGTTAAAAAATTAGTCAAAATTGACCTTTATTTTGACCTGCAGTTAACTTCTGAGAAGTTATTCAGATGAAAGGTGCTTTAAGTTTAGTATACCCTTAAGAAATAAAATCAGAAGGTTGTACATTTTTTCGCCCCCTCTATTTTGAAGCAGAAACAACTTTTGCAATAGACCGATAAAGTGGCCCCTTTTCATTTTTTGTCTAATAATTAAATAAAATACTTAAAGTATCAATAAATTAATAAAAAATGCATGATTCGACATTTGTCTGTATATTCCTTAGAATTTCGTCACTTGGTGGGAAGACTGTGCCATTTAAGGCTAACAACGAAAAAGATGCCGTTTCAAGCGTTACGTGAAAAAAGTGCCTTTTTGAGTGAAAGGTGAAGAAATAGTACATTTCGTAACTAGTGTGAACTGATGGCGTTTTTGAAACGGCAATGTTTTTGAAACGAGTTGTAGGCGACGCGCCGAAGGCGCCGAGCCGGAAACTCGTTTCAAAAACTTGCGCGAGATTCAAAAAGCAGTTCACGCAAGTTACGAACAATACTTTTTATAATAAAATCATAAAAAAGGGCGTTAAAAACTAGACACCCAGATTTGTCACAAAACTAGTTTACCGATATACATTCAAACGTACAAAAACGTTTTGTCGCACTATTGTTGAAAAACCTTTGGTGTGGCATACAAGGGGAAGGGTACTTGGGGGGGCAAAGCCCCCCGTTCTCAAATAACCATCTCCAAATCATAGGCTCCATAATTATTCTCATTATTCTTCTTCTTCTTCTTCTTAAATGACTTGTGGCCTTGCCGAGTGTCAGAACTATGATTATTCTGACAGTTGATAAAAAAAGTGAGGTTATGTTGAGGAAATGTTTTGACAATGATAGCGAAATCATAGAGATTTTTAAATTTCTAGCCAATCTTAGGTTGGTAGTGCTGTCGATAACTATTGCTATATATATCTACGCCTGCGCAAATGAGTCTATCGCGACGCGTTTTTGCAGTGTGCTACTATTCTCGATAAAAACGTCGACTCATTCTGTCCTTCTCACTTGGTTCATCGCAGTGGTTACATTATTTTTCTTTTTCGTACTCTGGGGTAGTCTTATTTGCACTCCGTACTCCGTAATAAGAGCTCTTATGACGCGCTGTTCAAGAAAAGGCAGTTTTCTACTTATCTCCGGAGTACCAAAAAACGCCGTTTTTATGACTGAGTTATAAAAATGCCTTTTCAGCGATGCAAATTTTTTTTTCTTTTTCTTAGGTTGACAATACAATGACGCTCAGTAAATTATATTGTTTATTTGATTTGATGAAATTTATTTCATTTAATAAAAAAAAAATCAAATGACAATATAATTTACTGAGTGTCATTATATTGTCAAACTAAGAAAAATAATATTTTGCATCGCTGAAAAGGCATTTTCTTCACCTTTCACCCAAAAAGGCACTTTTTCACGGGTCGCTTGAAACGGCATTTTTTTCTATGTTAGCCTGAAATGACACAGTCTTCCCCCCAAGCAACGATTTGTAATTATAAGTTTAGTCTGCGTTTCGAGTATAGTGAGAATTCCAACAATATCAATAAAAAACATTATATACGTATGTATGTATTATTTATTTTGTTTGCAGAATTATACAAAATCCGTCTTGAAAAAAAGAAATTGGGCCCTTTGGCCTTAAAGAAAGAGCTGAAGGAAGTGCGGGTAAAAATTTCTCAAGAAATCGGAGCGGACAACCGCAAACTGAAGAAAAAAAATTTAAAAAAATAAAATTTTAGTCGTATCAATATTTTTTAAATTATATTTATTTTATTTTCAACTATATATTTTATTTTTATATTTTTATTTTATTTACAATTATTTTTTAAATAATGAAATAATTTGTCGATCATTATAGTTAATTCTGACTTAAGTAATTAAGTATTTAGTACAAATAACTATTTTTTTGATACTATAAAACAAAGTAAATATTTACTTGGCTGAAAGAAATCAAAACAAAACGATCGATAGATGGAATTTTATAAAATCAAAATTCTACCACGCTAAAATTTTTTATTTCAGCACCCTCTGAGGGTGCAGTCCTATGGCAGCATTTTGCGAACGTTTTGTAAAGGCAATGAGTGTGAGAGAGATGGAAATATATGTTTGCTATATTTGCACTCATGGCCTAGTTACAAAACGCAACGTAAAACGCTGCCATTAGACTTTAGCCTGAACCGTCAGAATAAGATACTAATCAATTATTCTTAGAAAACTTTAACTCAACTCGAAGCTTATATCATCGCTACGTGCATAACGATAAAGATCATTGATATAAAGATCATTGTATTCTTTGAAAAATATAGTTTGTTTACAAAGAAAAATGTATGTTTATAAATTTAAATGATGACTAATTAAAGAGTAATTAAAAGCAGAAATTATTTTCTTATATTCAAAATTATCTTTAATTTTTGAAATTGCAATAGCAATTTTATTCAAATTCAAATTTTAATTATTATAATTATTTTATTTTTAACTAGTAAGTAATTGTTTATTTCTAATAAATTAGAATTTCATTTAATTTAACCCTTAAACCGCACACTGCCGAATCCATCCTTAAACCGCACACTGGGTGTGCGACACCCAGGGACTTTTAAGTGTGTTTTCCAAGCTGGAATAGGATATTTTCTTTTGGAAAAATTATCTTATATAGCTCAGTACATCTATTTTGAAGAAAAATAGGTTTTATAATAATTTATTTAATTTTAATAATTAAAAAAAAAAATTTTTAAACTACTGAAATTACCTCAAACCGAAAATTAGGTGTCAGCCACTCATAAATTTTTCGCTTTCAACTTCATAAAGTTTTCAAATACGCAAAGATACATGGGAGACAAATATTACTCACGGAACATAAACTTAAGTACAAAATGTACCGTCCAATAGCGACACATGTTTAATTTTTGTAAATATAAACGATATATTGGTATATATTGGAATATATTGGATATATTGGAATATGGGTGTCGCACACCCAGGGTGCGGTTTAAGGGTTAATTCTAAAAAAATTACTCTGTAATTAAATTCTAATAAATTAAATAAATAAAAATAATTTTTATCAAAGTTTTTTCACAATTTTCAAATCAATTTGTTTACAATTCAATTTCACAATATGTTAATTGTTTGGAAATTCTTTAATTACATATCCCTACTAAAAAAAAGTGCTGGGAAAAGTGGGCCCGCTGCCAGACACGACTGGCATCATGGATATATTCGGTAGACTTTGTGAGAGTTTTAATAGAAAAGTAAGGAAAGAAATTAACTTTCTGCAATTTCTTATTGTTTTTTCCGCATTTTTTCAGGGAATGGAGAATTTTAATAAAAAAATATAGGAACAAATAATAAAAAAAATAAACTTTCTTCATTTTTTTCTTTATTTTTTATGTTCATTCCTTCATTCTTTTCTGCATTCCTTTGTGGATTTTTTTCCTTCACTATTTTCTGCATTTTATTTTACTTTTATCTTCATCTTTTCTGCATTTTTTCCATTTCTTGTTTCAAAATAGTTCCATAATTATGAATAAACATTACTAAAAATTTGAATAGATAAATGAAAGAGAGAATTCCTTTTTTAGAGCAATTATTTGCATTTTTTTAAACACAATTAAATTCGTAATTCTTATTACAAACAAAACTTAATTTGCAATTTTAATTTGTAAATATAAATAAGTTTTCAATTCTTTTGTAAAAAAAATTAAGTACGCAATTTTTTTGAAAACAAAATTGAATTCGAAATTTATTATGTTATGTAAAGAACGGGGTTCACAATTGTCTACAGGTCACAAATCTTAATGAATTAAATTTTTTTTAAATACACAGCAATTATTTTTCAGAAGATCTCTCAAGGCCGATTATAAAATTTTTGCTATTTTTTTAAAATATATTGTTTTAAACAATAACAAATTGCGCTTCTTTAAGTATAAAATTTTGTAAATAGTGTAAAAATTTTGTTTATCGCTTTTAATTAGTAGCCTGTAAACGTCTGAACATTTACAGAAAATGTGCCACGTTCAAAGAAAGTTATAGAATTATTATTAACAAATAAGATTTATTAAATAATGAATTAACAAATTAACTTTTTTGGATATTTTCCAGATGGCAGGACATTGCCAACGCTGTGGAGTGTCCACAGAAGATTCTGTGGACAAGGAAAACTTAGTGGACCTTGGTGCTGGCATCGTTGTCCACAAAGATGATTGGAAGCGAACAACGGACTTAAAAAAAAATTCCAAATTTCTACTTTAAACTATAAGATTATTTTTTCCGGGTGGACTCAGCAATTATTATTTAACAAAGGACCCTAAGGATGAGTCGAAAATACAAGTCTGCCCGGAAAAAATCAAAGCAATTGAGGGTAAGTTAAAAAATTAGTCAAAATTGACCTATATTTTGACTTGGTGTTAACTTCTGGGGAGTTATTCAGATAAAGTTGTTTTAAGTTTAGTACCCAGTAAGAAGTAAGGAATTAATAAGAATTCGAAATTTTTAATTCTTTTGAATTCCGTTTGTGACCAATTCTTTTCATTTTCATTTGGAGAAGCCAAAAAGATGCTAAGTTTATTCTTTTGAATACCGTTTTAATATTTTATGCGGAAAAAAAATTTGACTGTTCAAAGATTTGAACCCTCAAGCTTCATTGTCGGAGACAAACAGCTTGTCCGCTCAGCTATTTAAACTGTACTATGACTTCCGAATTTTAGAAGCACTTATCTCAAAGTGTTGCAAACTTCAAAGGAATTAAAAATTACAAAATATTAAAACGGAATAGACAGGAATTGAAATTACCGAGTATCACACAGTATTTCGGAATTCACAAAAATTCAAAAATTAAAGAAATATTAAAACGGAATTGATTGGAATTCACTTTTAAGAAATCTTTGCCTCAAAAAGGAATACATAGGAATTGGACAGAAACGGAATTCAAAAAAATTGATAATTTAACATTTTCTGTAAATAGTTAAAAATGTCCAATTCTTCTCAATTCCTTACTTCTTACTGGGTACACCCTTAAGATGAAAAATTAAAAGTCTTTTTCTCCTTCTCCATTTTGAAACAGAAACAACTTTTGCAACGGACCGAAAAAATGGTCCTTTTTCATTTTTTTGTCAACATCAGTAAAATTCGACTTTTGTCTGTACATTGATTAGAATTTGTAATTATAAGTTTAGTTTTTCATTTCAAGTATAGTAAGAATTCCCACAATATCAATAAAAAAATTATATACGTATGTATGTATCATTTATTTTATTTACAGATTTATATAAGGACAGGATGAGACAGAGAACTGGGTCCTATAGCTCTGATGGAGAAAATACAACAAGTGAGGAAGAAAATTTCAGAAGAAATAAAGCGCAGACAATAAAAAGGCAAAAAAAGAAAAAAAATTAGGCTGCATTCAAGTTTTAATTAATTAATTTTAAATTAATTTTCCGTTTTATGTTTATTCATATTATTTATGTTTATTTATGTTACTGTTTTTAATATTTTATGTAAGGTCATGTTATTCAGTAAAAAAGGAAAAAATCGATATTTCTACTTCTGGATTTCGCTTATGAGGAATAAATTATCTAAAGTTATATGAAAATGCATAATATGGGATTCTATTTTAATTTCATGGTTCCTTTCCTCATTCCCAAGTGTCATTCTATCATTTGAAGGTAATTTTTAATCATTTACCTAAATATTTCATTGATTTTCTAGTGGCCCAACTCTGGCGACCATGATCAACTCTGACAACATTTTGTTCTTGAATTGCTTATAACTCTGAATCTTTTGGTTAAATTTTTTTACAATGTTCAGCAAAAATAATATAAATTAATTAATTTTTTTTGAAATTTTGCAGATAGTAGGACAATGTAGGGGATTTAAACTGTCCACAAAGGAGGCTGTGGACAAAGAGAATCAAGTGGACCTTAGGGCTGGCACCTAGGTCCACCTGGACGACTGGAAACGCATCAAATCAATAAAGAAAGATTCACTTTTCTTATTGAAATTAATTAGAACTTTTTTTCCGGGTGGATTAAAAGGTCATTTTTTTGCGAAGGACCCAAAGGATGGGTAAAAAAAAAGTCTGCCCGGAAAAAATTAAAGTGATCGAGGGTAAGTTAAAAAATTGGTCAAAGTTGACCTATATTTTGACCTGGAGTTAACTTCTGGGATGTCTTTTGCAACAGACCGACAAAGTGGTCCCTTTTCATTTCTTTGTCTAATAATAAAATAAAATGCCTTTTCAGCAATGAAAAATATTTTTGTTCTTTTTCTTAGGTTGACAATACAATAAAGCTCAGTAAATTATATTGTTTATTTGATTTGATTTGATAAAATTTATTTTTTTAAATAAAAAAACCAATCAAAAACACAATATACTTTACTGAGCGTCATTGTATTGTCAACCTAAGAGAAAGAAAAAAAATATTTTGCATCGCTGAAAAGGCATCTTCTTCACCTTTCACCCAAAAAGGCACTTTTTCACGGATCGCTTGAAACTCTACGAAACATATCCATGATGACAGTCGTGTCTAGAAGCGGGCCCACTTCTCCCAGCACATCAAAGACATCAATGATGTTTGGCAGTGGACCCGCTACTCCCAGCACATCAAAGACACTAATAATTTTCGGCAGTGGACAACCAGCGGCGGAGCATAATTTCGATTTGTCAAACAATATTTTCTAAAAAAAAAGAATACAATAATAATATAATAAATAATAATAATATAATAATAAAAATAATAATAATTATTATATAATAATATTTTATAATATTATAAATAAAGTTATCAAAAAGTTTAAATATAAATAAGTTATCAATTCTTTTGTAAAAAAAAATTGCGTATTTAATTTTTTTACAAAAGAGTTGATAACTTATTTATATTTACAAATTAAAATTGCAAATTTAGTTTTGTTTGTAATAAGAATTACGAATTTAATTGTGTTTAAAAAATACTAATGTAGGGGAGGGTAGGCTACATTGAACCGGGTATTTTCTAAAGTTCAAGAACTAATTAAATTTTGAAAATTTTGATCAGTTTTTTGTATGAAAATAAAACAGAAGTACTCCTTTAGTTAATACACACGTTACAAATACAAATTATTATGATTAAATAATAAAATTTTATTTTTTTTCTAACCAGTTACACTTTTCTTGTTTTGAAGGAAGTGTGTCTACATTGAACCACCTCTAATAAAACACTACAACTTACTTCGAAAATAATATTTCCACTTACACATTGTAATAAATCTTATTTTTCACTCAAAAAAATAGAAAACTGTTGTTAAATAGTTATTATTTGTTAATATAAGATATTAATATATTTCGATGTCAGGTTTCGTGGCAGAAGTGACAGTTTAATTTTATCACGTTGAGAGCCATGCTGATCAAATTTCCTGACCTCAAAATAAATATTGTGGCGCAAAATTTTAAAGTTCTACTACAATGTATAATTTCTGAAACCTTAATTGCGCATGACTACTAGCATTTTTCTTTATTGGTCAATAGAGCAGACAACTTTTGTAGTCAGGGCTACCACTCTTGAAACTGAAAATACGATGTAAATTCGGGTGGTTCAATGATGCCGCACTCACTGCATTCACATGACATTCACAACAAAAATTGTTTATAATAAATTTATGTAAGACTTAAAATTCCTTATCACATCGGAATATTGAAGTTGACACCCTAAGCGACATAAATCACAAGTTTACTAATTTTTAAAACTTCCTATTTCAATTTTTTGTTTTGTACGTGAAAAACAGTTTTTTTCGTTTTTCTTTGTAAATAATAAACCTACGTGCTCGAAATTTTTGGACGTAGTCGCTTTCGGTAATACTAATTTATATTTTAAATAAGAAAAAATTCCACTCAGTCATTTCTTAGAAAATTAAAGTGGTTCACTGTTGACGCTGGTTCAATGTAGCCTACTCTCCCCTATTTATTTTTATAAAAAATGCAAATAATTGATCTAAAAAAGGAATTCTCTCTAACATTTATCTATTAAATTTTTTAGTAATATTTATCAAGATTCGTGGTACAGAATCGCCGCCAAGTAAAAAGCAAAAACCGCGAATATATATTCTCAAAATATCGGCTGTTTTTCGATAAAATTGAATAACTCGAGTAAATCTTAATCGATTTGACTCAGTCTTTTTTTGTTGGATAAAGAATCAAAAAAGAAAGAATTCTGTTAAGTTTAATCAATATTTTATATAGTTTTATTGAATTTAGGCTAGGAAAACCGGAAACATAGCGATTTTTTAGATTTAGACAAACCTGGAGCGTAAACTCCTAAATGGATTTCTGAAATATTCTAGAATATTATTAATTAGGTTAAAATCTCGATATTTCTACTTCATATATTATTATTATTATTATTATTATTATTATTATTATTATTATTATTATTATTATTATATTATTATTATTATTATTATTATTATTATTATTATTATTATTATTATTATTATTTATTATTATTATTATTATTATTATTATTATTATTATTATTATTATTATTATTATTATTATTATTATTATTATTATTATTATTATTATTATTATTATTATTATTATTATTATTATTATTATTATTATTAGTATTATTATTATTATTATTATTATTATTAGTATTATTATTATTATTATTATTATTATTATTATTATATATTATTATTATATTATTATTATTATTATTATTATTATTATTATTATTATTATTATTATTATTATTATTATTATTATTATTATTATTATTATTATTATTATTATTATTATTATTATTATTATTATTATTATTATTATTATTATTATTATTATTATTATTATTATTATTATTATTATTATTATTATTATTATTAGTATTATTATTATTATTATTATTATTATTATTATTTAAAAATTTCGATTTTTCTCAAAAAAATGGAATTTTTTGACATTTAGACAAACGCAGAGACTAAACTTGTAAACGGTTATGTGAAATACCTATTCTAGAATATTATTGATTGGGTTAAAATCTCGATATATATTAAAGGAAATTTTAAGATACTTCGAATTTTTGAAAAATTCTTACTTTTCTAGAAAAATTGAATTTTTTGACATTTAGACAAACGCAGAGATTAAACTACTTAACAGATTTGTAAAATATTTTAAAATATATTATGGATTGAAAGCTTGAAATTTATTTAAAAAACTTTTTTGTTTTTATGTTATTTTTAGAGTGTATAGAATAAAAATTCTAAAAATTATGTAAAAATTTCTGTATAGAATCAAATCTTAAATAAATTCTTATTTAAAACTTAATTGTATTTTATTTTAAATTATTAGTTCAAAGACCACAATATTATTACTATTAATTTTTTCATTTATTAAAAAGTTGAGATGACGCAAAAAGTTTTAAAATCCTAACAAAAACATCTTTGGTGCAAAATATTCCGCCAAGTAAAAGATGTTGGGACTGTCCAAACAATTATTGAAATAAAAGTTTACCAAGTAAAATTCATAATTAAAATTTTAATAATGATTGATTTCAAATATTTTCTCTTCTACACAACTCGAAGTACATATTGCAGTTGAAAAAACAACCCGGGCTTAGCTGTTGTTATTGTTCATTGCGGCTTAATTACATTTCCGAATTAAGTCAATATTCTTCATTGCATTTTGAATTGTAACAAATAAAATTTAACTTTATAATTAACATTAACAAAAAACGAAATCTAATTACTCGTCATAATAAAAAATTTTTATTTCAGCAATTTAAAAATCTTGCCGTCAATAATGCTTCTAACTTGTAATTAATGAAAGTATTGACGCCCAGATTTTAAATTGCTGAAATAGAAATTTTCTATTATGACGAGTAATTAGATTTCGTTTTTTGTTAATGTTAATTATAAAGTTAAATTTTATTTGTTACAATTCAAAATGCAATGAAGAATATTGACTTAATTCGGAAATGTAATTAAGCCGCAATGAACAATAACAACAGCTAAGCCCGGGTTGTTCTTTCAACTGCAATATGTACTTCGAGTTGTGTAGTAGAGAAAATATTTAAAATCATTCATTATTAAAATTTTAATTATAAATTTTACTTGGTAAACTTTTATTTCAATAATTGTTTAGACAGTCCCAAAATCTTTCACTTGGCGGAACATTTTGCACCAAAGATGTTTTTGTTGGGATTCATAATTATGGAACTATTTTGAAATAAGAAATGGAAAAATTGCAGTAAAAAATAAAGATAAAAGTGAAAAAAAATAAAGAAAAAATGAACAAAAAATAAGGAAAAAAATTCACAATTTTTAAGTCGCTGATTGACATTTTGACATTAAAATAATGCAATTCACAATTATTTGTTTATTCAATGAATAAAATGCTACGGACATATCGTTACTTTCTAAC